AACAGTAACATAATAATAATAATAATCTAATACCCAGGAGCAGAACATTCCCTTTAGTTTTCACCCCTTTGTGCAAAACCCTTATCACAGGAAATGTTTCAAATTTGCACATCTTCAAAACAACAATATTATTCTTGTTCATCTCCATTTCTATTTGTTTGTATCGCTCTTGCCTGACGCCCACCACTGCTTTAAGAGTACTGGGGCTGGAGGAGTGGTGGGCTCGGAACCAGTGTACCTCTTCACTCGGAGCGCACACAAAACCAAAGAGAAGGCCACTAAATGTCTATTGGATGAGTCATTCAGCAAATGGGGGTCAGCCAGCGTGGTTGTGTTTATTCACTTATTATGTGAATAAACCCTATAGCTCAGGGCCGCAGAGAACGTTCATATTTTTAAGAGTAGGCTCAAGACGCACCTTTTTAGAGCAGCTTTTGATTAGTATTTATTATCTATTATTGCTTTTTAGTACATCTATTTATGTTTTTAGACGGATTATATTTTTATTTATTTTTATTATTTACTATTTTTAATTATTTATTGTATCTACCCATTTACTATTGTTATTATCAATATTAGGCAGCTGCCATTTTTCTTTTTATTTTCACATTTTATTGTTCTACTTTCTATTGTATTATTGTATTGTTTTAGTGTCCCCAGTGTTTCCTCTGGAGGAGCCCTCTGCACTGAGAGCTGGGGTCTGCTGTGGCTTCGGGGGACTGGCTCTTGGATCCGGTGGGGGTCTGGGGCCTCCTCTCTCCTCTGGGTCCTATGGGGTCTGAGTCCTGGGCCTGGTGGGGTCTGGGGCCCCTCTCTCCTCTGGGTCCTGTGTCGTTGCCTGTGGCTGCAGCCGGCTCTCTGCTCCTGGTGCAGATGGCTCCTTGGATGACGCTTCTTCAGCCGGTTACATCTGCTCCCAGCCCCATTTCTTTTTATTGTTTTACCTGATATGACTTTATACTTGTGTGTGTGTGTCTGTGTGTATATGTGTGTGTGTGTGTGTGTGTGTGGGTGTGTGTATTGTATATATAATTATAATTTTGTTTTGGGGGGTCTGTGGGGAGGAGGGTTTAGGGCTGGGCATGTGGGATTGTTTTTAACTAAACTGTAAAGCACTTTGTGTTACACTTTTTGTATGAAAAGCGCTTTATAAATAAAATTTGATTGATTGATTGATTGATGTGTTCAAATGTTGGAACTGGAAGAGAGAGAACTACGGCTCTGCATTGTGTTGAGTGACAAAAATAGTCGTTCTACCCACTTCACGGGCACTTCTTTGGTATTTGCGCGATGCACAGATGTTTGGAAATGTTGATTTTATGTGTACGAATAAGAAGAAAACAGATTTATTTTAAAAGCTTGGAAGACATACCAGCAAAGTCAGGCTAAGATACAAATCAGATGTGTGGAGAGACAAGGTAACTTTTTTGACTTTTCTGCTTTCGTGCTTCTGTCACCAATAGATCAAACTATTTTAACACTCAATCAATCTTTGGCAACTTATCTAAACTTTGACTGATTTCGTTTTTTAAAGGATCTTAAATGGCTCCAGCTCAGACACAATTTGATACAAAAATCCTCAAGCCCCCTGTGACGAAGTGAGTCTTACTACTCCACTTGTCCCTTTGTGTACGCCCTTTGTTCCATACATACATACACACACATGTTCTGCAAACTGCACTCAATATCCCGAGCCTTGTTTGTGTAAGTTTGTCAGTCAGTTACATATTCATTCACTCTTAAACATACATTTAATTTACAGCATTAACCTGTTTATAAAGAGATCTGTTGTTTAAAGAGAAGAGCCAGTTCTCTGCTTCTCATATACCTGCTCCTTGCGACTCTCCATGTTGTCTTTGGAGAAAGACCATGTATATAATTGTGAACCTTTGTATTGTTTCTTCTGCCACTTAGACCACTCATGTTACACTACCACACACCCAGACTGGCATCTTCATATACTTCACATTTAAAATACTTGTGCCTTATGAACTTCTGCGCAGATATCCACAAACTTCACCATCTCATCATACCTTGTGTGAAACCGAAAGTAAGAGAAGCCGCTTTCTCTCATTTAAGAGCAAACTAAAAACTCACTTTTTTTCTTTTGTAAGTAAGTCAGTAAGTAATCTTTATTTATATAGCGCCTTTCACAGACCAGAGTCAAAGTGGTTTACAAATGTTGTGGGTATTTGTCTCTTACTCCGCACAGAGATGGGAGCGAGATCCCCAGCATGGATCCCAGGCATGCGCCCCTGTGAAACTATTGTACATGTTTTTAGTGGTAGGGGAAGCCGGAGCACCCGGAGGAAACCGGAGCAGACACGGGGAGACCATGCAAACTCCACTCAGAAAGGCCCCGTCCCGAATGGGATTCAAACCCAGAAGCTTCTTGCTGTGAAAAGTGAGTGCTATCCACTGTAAGGCATTACAAATCAAAAACTGGGTAATATTTACTCGGTACAAAGGTCAGTAACGTGAGTTACAGCATTTTAACTCCGCCTCCACTTGGTGTTTGAAAAGCCTATGCAGCATATGCTATGGATGAGAGTCTGAGCTCTGGTTTGATCTTTAAAGCGTACAAAAAGAGTCACTTGTCAACGGGCGGAAAACAGAATGATGCACTTCCATCACATTTATTAAATAAAGCAGTGAGCTGCTGTGAACCAGTTCAGGACTGAGCCAGGACTGAACCAGCACTGGGCTAGGACTGCACCTGAACCAGGATTCTATAACATTAAACGATTTTAAAATGTCTGAGCATCTCTTTGACCCAGTCCGGCACAAAGATTAAAGGATTTTGAGAACTGAATTTGAGATAAAATAATCGATATGCAGAGTGTTATGCTGATTGAGATTTGTATTGCCAAATGTATAAATACAAGTATTTTCAAAGCCATATTTAAATAGATGCAACAATAGATACAGAATATTTAATGCATCTGGAGAGAAATCGTTCAGGTAAAGCAGTAACATCTCCATGACCCAAACAGGTAACAGACCTCTACAGAAAGTTATATAATGCCCCTTTTGAGCTACTTTTGAATACCGTGTGTTGTGTTATTTCGGTTGACGGTTTAAGGTGTTGCTGATGTGTGGTCATTGCCTCCTCTGCATTGAAGCTATCTTGTTCAATCACGTCCAACAAATAACAACAAGCAAATAAAACTTCAAGATCATCTCACACACACAAGGCTCATACTAAACTGAACCCTAAACTCCTTTTGAACTTTCATTCTAATCTAATGTCATATATTTGATGTTTTTAATATGCATTCCATTGACACATTTTGAAATATGAAACAGCTTTTTTGTCAATCACTGTGATTGGCGGGAATGGGACAGATGATGGAAACATGGAGTCTAGTGTTTCACAGCAGAGAGACAGTAATAAGATGTGACAAGATGAAAGCCACATTCAGGCGCAGAGAACAAAGTCGTGTAAGTATTTGTGGGCGAGTTTGTGGCATGCGGAATACCTGTGAAGTGAAGAAAATGGAGGAACTGTCAGTGGCTCTCCTAGTGATACAAACAGATGGACTTAAATAAACACATGGCTTGAGGGAGGAGGTGCTGGACAGACAGACAGACAGAGGAGAGGAAAGACAGAGGGAGAGAGCAGAGAGTGGGAGGACATGGCACAGGGGAAGGTGGGACCTTCATTATGCAATCAGAACAGACAAGGGAATAACACGCGGTGCACGCTCAGCTCCTGTTAGCTCCTGTTAGCTCGCCTACACGTCCAAAACACACACGAGCACAGATGCAGGCTAATTCAGGGAGGGTTGCCCAAATTAACCAAATGGTGCTATTTCTCTGGCGGATTTACAGCAAATCAAATCTGTCGACCTTTGAGTAAGGCGAGGACAGCTCCGAAAGGACAGCTTCTACAGCAAATACCAACAATTCTCTTTCTGTGACCAATACTGATCACTGTTAATGCTGTTAAATTAAATGTGCACTTTGTTTAATAGTGGGAGGTCCACGACCCGTTTTCCTTTCATAGATTTTTGTCTTCCACAGTATAGCTTTACATGTGTATAAAATAATTTGCTCAAAAATACATTGGAATTTGATTTTTGGTCACTATTCCATAGATTTGACTTGTAGCCAAGCCTGATCTTGTAAATTTGTGTCCATTGAAACAGATTTGTGGAATATGATAACTATGGAAACCTTTATTTGAACCTCTACTTACATCGCACAGCTCAAAAACACCCTTAGACAGGTACACTGGTGGAAAATAGCAATTCATAAGCCAGGGAAACTTTGTCGAGGCCAGATCAAAATTCACCAAAAAGGACAGTGAATCACAGTTTGCATTTGTGAACAAGTGTGTATAGGCCAACTATTCAAGATTCATTCACAAATTGGATTGATAAATTCAATTCCATTCAATTCAAGTTGAATTGAAAAATTGAAAAATAAAGAAACAGCTTCTCACCAGTGGTGCACTACTACAGCACTGTGCAATAATAATGAGCCAAAAGGATAGATTGCGCTCAATAAAATCTCATTATATTACTAAAAATGTACATGCAACTTGTGTATAAAAGGTAAAAACCGTTGAGCGTCACATTTGGGTTAGTGTGTGAAGTCTACACAGGGATCTCCTTTCTACACCGTCTGGCCAGTATACTACTGCGGTGGATGCATCCATAAGTAATTGGCCTGAAAAGTACCTTCTAATCATTACAAAAGGACAAATCATCCTTAATAAAATATCTGTTGATTATAAATTAAGTATGTTGCGTGTGTGCTTATAATGATACGGCTATGTAGATATAATAAAGATCAGGCCATTAAGGTAACAAAACACTTTCTCACTTTGGATGAGAAAAAACGATTCATTATCATTGAATGTGATTAGTGATGAAGACGTCTAATGGAGTTGGTGTTATAAGTTAATGCACTCAATCCATAATGAAACAGTAATGAGCATATTGCGTAGCCTCCGTAGTGTTCTTAGAAAATGTGAAATGTGAAGCAGGAGTACTGACCATAATTCCAGTGAGCAGGCACACTCCCTTCCCGCAGTAGGTGTGGGGCACCATGTCGCCGTAGCCAATAGACAAGAAGGTGATGGAGATCAGCCACATGGCCCCAAGGAAATTACTGGTGACATCCTGTGCATCGTGATACCTGCAACACACGTCGTTCAATATGAAACACAACGAAACCAGCACAAAGTCACACAAAGCATTTGACCAACATCTCAGCCTGCACAATATAGAGTTACCATAGAAACTAATCAGATGAGGCTGTGGGAAGAAGGGATGTCTTTTCAGTTTGTTATTGAACATAACGTGAGGATTGTACCCAGTGTTTTTGAGATATTTTGAGTTTTTAATTAGCTCAATTTCCCAAAACAAACATAATTTGCAAACATCTGCGTGTGTGTGTGTGCGTGCGTGTACTTTGCTCATCTGAAAGGAAAAGTTGTGAAGTTTTGTTAAACAACTTATAAAATCTGCAATAGAGCCTCAACACTTTTGACTGTATCTACAATAGGAGTGTGCTAAAAATAAACACATTTTTGAGATACATCAATTTTGTTAAAAAATAGATAGGAATAGATGTATTTATTTTTTCCAGATAAAAAAAAAAAACATTTATATTGTTTGGATATTATGACTTCAATAAGAAGCAATCTTGAATAATCTTCAATCTTCAGTTGAATATAAATGCATCAATTGTGTTACTGTAGATGAGGCTGAGGCCAAAAGCCTTTACTTTTTACAGAACCGTATCATATATTTTTGAGATACACATTGTGTCGGCAGCTACGAAAGATACCCAGCCCTAATCTCCAATTTAATAAATACTTTAATCCTTTGTATTTTTGTAGTAGACCTATAAAACTTTTGAAGACAAAAATAACAATCGAGCTACCACCAAATGTGCAACTGACAAGAAATTATCTCTTTAAAACATTTTAAGTTCTTTGGTGAATGAAGCATATGCCACTGGCTTTGTGTGCATGTGATTTTCCAAGATAACAAGATTTAATCATTTCATTATTATCCAATTTTGTCTTTGGAATAGATTTTCTACCATAGAGAAGCTGGATACTGATCATGGGACGGCTTATCAGCTGCTGGCCAGTGGGAGTTCTAATCAACATTAAGAAAAGCTTGACAATTCATGTTTTCTTGATGTTCCTAAAATAATTTTAAACTTTTCCATCGCACGTTTACATCTGAATGCGCAGGAAACAGCAGCAAGCCCTAAATAGCTCTGAAACAATTGTTGTTTTGTGCTTTACAATTCTATTTTTCTTGCTTTTTCGGATCAGGTGAAAATCCACTGGAGGAATGCTAACTTAAAAAAAAAATGCCAACAAAGCATTCAACCTCTCACTTTGGAGTAAAGCAGAGAAAATGGTCCGAACCAAGCAGCTACTCCACCTCTGCTGCAGTATCCTAAAGTGCTGTTGCATTTTATACTAATGTTAGCTACATTTAGAATGATCTATTTATTTGTTATGTTTGTATGAATGCAAGTGTTTCTGCTGCTACTGGACACCTGAATTTCTCCTACAGGGGATCAATAAAGTAAAATAAGATCTATCCATCTATCTAGCTCTCGGAATATTCTGTAAATTTAAGCTTTCAATGCACAATATAAAATTACACTAAATACCATACTTTTGGACATTTGGACAACCTTTATACGTAGATATACCTTTTTAGTCCTTCAATCTTCAGATTTATTTTATAGTTATTGAAGGCATTTATTGAAGTGGTTTTATTTGTAGATGGACATTCATATGTTGTTTATAAACAATGAATGTGAGTTTTAGCAGAGTGCACAGAAGTATCTAGAGCAAACCATGCATTGTATTCCTGGATTTAATAAGCCTTGAGCGTCCATAAAACTAGACAGTAAATTATTCATTAAGTTGTAATTAGTAAGCATACATACTCTATTGGAAAATCATTTGGACACTGCAAATAAACTCTATTTTAAGGCTCAATATTGATTTATTTTTGAGGAACCTTTGTGATTTTTTAAATACAGTTAATATGGGTTATATAGGTTTGTGAGCAGGCCGATGCCTCAAACTCCCCCATCCTAAATTTGTGTCAGCGTAATCACCTTTTTCTTTTACCATTCCAGCTTGCATAGGTTTTTTCAGAAAATAAATAACACATTTACACAAAAGGATGCAAAAGGCAGAGCAGCCCCCCCACCCAGAAATGGATTAAAGGGAAGAAAATGGATGGATGGATTTACACAAAAGGAAAAGAACAAGACAAGTTGACTTGTTGGTGCACATGGAGGAATTTAGGTTTATTGCATACAACATATTCAAAGTTTATCACCACATTACCTGCAATATATGTTAAAAATATGGCTTTCCACCAAACTCCTCCTAATGAAGAGGTGCTAAATTAATAAACCAACTTCAGTGTCTGAAATGGAATTAGTGGTCCAACTCCTGCAAAAGCCTCATAAACCCAAGTCTAAACTGCTATTACATTGCCCACATGTCTCAGATTGTGTTTCCTGACAAATCAATTTAATGTTTCCATTCAATGCATCGTGCTATTACAGCCCAGTCTGGTTCTTTTGTGGTGTACCGCGCAGACAGATACAGAATTATAAATGCGACAACTACAAGTGGAAGGTTTCATGCTACTTTTCAAGTCAGCGAGGTCCATTAAAGTGATAGTCTGTAACTCTAAATGACTTACACATTTTAGGAAATGTGTAAAATTGACCTCCTGACCTTAAAGACCTTATGCCGGGTTTAAAAAAAAAAAAAAAGTGGACATCAAAATTGCATGACATTGTCGATCTGAAAGAGATTCCGGCAAAAAAAGTCCTATATTTTATAAAAAGAACGAGTTTTTCATGAATTTAAGTTGTCTATGCTCTAACCTGTGTGTGACGTCATAGCGGGTAACGCCCATGCATTGAAAACCATGGATCTATGCCACAGGACTGCCTTTTCTCTCTTCTCTCCACTGATGCCCAACACAATACTGCACTCTACAGGTGACAATTGCTCACTACACATAAATCGCCGTTTTGAGAGTGAAAATGTGTCTGAGGTGGGATTTGAACCCAAGTATCTGGATTGGCAGTCCATCGCCTTGTCATCTTGAATATCCGCGAAAAAAGAACGAATACCAAATTGTAAACAACTTACAGCGTTGAAACGTACCCGTTCTGACGTCACCAAGGGCTGTGAAGTTTTTTCGTCTCTAAGGGCGTTGCTATGGGGTTATTTCGATTTGGGGGGATCAGACAAAAAAAACAACAACTGATTTTGAAACCTTTAGTAGTTCTCTTCTAATATAAAATGGTATTAAAACTGTATTTCTAAATAAATCAAACCCGGCATAAGGTCTTTAAATGTTGATATAAAATAAGTCATTTTATTAATTCTAATATTACGGGCAACTCCCGCCTTCCCTTCTCTTAGCTATAGTTCAGAATCCACAATGCCGTCGAGGTTAACCGATCGAGTCATGCCAAGGGCTGTCAATCATCAGCGCTGATGCTCAGTTGTTTGTTTTCGCGGAACCTCCGAATCAAGCCTCTTTGGCTCTGGAACTACATAAAAACTGAACAAAGAATTATGAACATCCGCGCTGAGTTACTTATACTGAACCTATATCCATAATCAGATCCTCTGCAGGTGTGTCCTATAATGTGCAATTAACGATAATAGCTTCTTCCGGGTTTGCTGCGATCGCTTTTTCATTAAAACGTAAACAAATAATCCTGAAAACCTCCGTGCATGTGTATTAATAATGTATATGTATAATGTGTTTTCTGATTAACATTTAAAAGTGTTACGGAAACATAGGTGTAGACCAATCAGAAAGGAAGGGGGAGGGAGCTTGCGTCGTTTTTTTCAAATCAAGTACCTCTCTCTCTTTCTGACAAACTCCAGACAATCACTTTAAGTAGACAATATAAAAAAATATATATATAATATTTCATATAAAGAGGCTGCATTGATGGGCTATTCAAACATTCTATTGCTGCATGCTGATAATTAAACGAGCAATATGTAAAAATCTGGCCAAAAGTGGTACTGCAGTCACAGTCCATATTTTGTAGTCCTCTCCCACTCCCTGACTCAGGTTGCCAGATACACACCAAATCCAGCAGCAAACACAAGGAATTATTTTATCAGTTGTTTGTCTGTCTCTTACATTGCCATGATAGCCGTGCTAATGTTGAATGAATGTTTTGATTAATGTTTTTTTTATTATTATTATTTGAACATTTTAGATAAAAAATAAAAACAAAATAAAAGCAATGTAATTATACATAGATTATGCAAAATATATAAGCAATTGATGTCCAAAATAGGAGTGGGAAGAATGAATGTTGGGACATGTGTATCAATATCAGGGTTTCCTCCAGAGGATATCACCCTTCAATTTTATTTATTCCCTATTTTTTAGACAAACATGTAAAAGTCCCACATCAAAAAGAGACTAACATTATTTCAATTGGGGTACATGTGGTCTCAAATTATTATTTTTACAATTAAAATCAAAAAACATCATGATCTTAGGTTTTTGACCGTTTTTTGAGCAATCTGTCAAAAAAATTGGATATTATGCAATTAAAATAAACTGACTCTCCTCGGATTCGAACCCGGGTCACCAAAGTGCAAGCGCAACTGCCTAACCACTACACCATCATCACACACGATTGCGGGTAGTGGATGCAGAATCGTATCAAAGCAGCAAGTTTTGCATTACACAAAAAGTTTTATTCACTGTCTCAATTTTTCAAGGCGTCCCGATATGAATCCTCTTTTTAGTCTTTGTTTTGTCATTTATGATTTGAGAGTCATAACAAGACTTTTTTTGTTCTGCGGCAACATGTTATTTTACTAGTGAGATTAGATAGCCGTGCGGAGTTCTGGCAACCCAATCACGGACTTCCATAGGACTTCCTGATTCGCGAAGCGGCGGAGGGCAGGCCGCCAAAATGAAAACAATTACTTTTACGGGTCGTAAAACTAATTTTGATAGTCAAATATCTCGGCTGAACTACTATTATCAGTTAAAGATGTATTCGAAAAGAGCATGATTTAATAACGCCTTTCAAAATATTGGGGCCATTTAATGAAGACTTGACATGCAAATATTACATACTGCTACTTTAAATAAAGAAAAAAATAGTTCCTATACATTTATAGCTTGTCCTTATTGTTTTCCTTTCTGCCAACACATAGGCCTATTAGACTTAAATCAATGTGAGCTTTTGCAAGTTTTTTCTGTGTAAATAAAACCAAATGTGTCACTGGAAAAATCAGGACTTACCAACCACCATGTTTTGACATCATAATCGACCTGACCAAGTACATGCCAAACAAATATTTAGAAAAACTGAACAATTGTAATCTGAACTTTTCTCACTTTCTTTTATAGACTAGACATGTGCGTTCAAATCAAGAGACGTTCTACTAAACTCACTGTTGGAGTGTTCCAGGGACAGTCAGCATGTGTCTTTACATATGTGTATGAGAACTGGATGTTATTGATATGGCATTTGGTCTCACGTGAAGGACAGAAGGTCACCCACCTCTCGCACACTCGCACGGTCCAGGCAGCGATGATCCACAGGGAGATGCTAAAAACCAGCAGCACCGTCCCGGGGCAGATAGTCATGAGCGTTTTCATTACAAACCGTGTGTTGAAATGAACCTGCAACAACAAAAGCCTGGATAGTAGTGCTGGATGCAACTTTTCACATCATAGAAAACATATGGAAAATACTTTTTATATCTGTAGCTCATCATATTCTTTTATTCCCCAGCTCCCGATAGCGCTTGACTTGACAGCAGCATCCTGAAAGGGAGAATTGCCCTCTGACTCCTGGCAAAGTCTTGAAGTAATTGGTCCATTTCACAGCAGTCTATAATGTTCATTTGTGTGTATGTATTTTAGTGAGAGGGACAGGTCCTAGAAGGGTGAAGAGCTGATAAATGATATGTCATTTTGACTTCTAAAATGACAACATGCTCTTGTCACCTCAGGGTCAGAGTCTAGTACCACTGCTGATGCTTTAGTCTGCTGTCCACTTCAAGCTCTCCCCTCTGGTAAGCCTATTTGAAATCATTTGATAACATTGTTGATAAGATTTAAGACATTACAATCCAGCAGCCCATCATTTACTATATACTGTGTTTACATTGCTCAGCACTCGTGAGCAAATCTTATTCTGTTTGGATGTTTGTACGCCCCATTTGCAATATCTTGTTCCCATTTCACGCTCCCCGTCTCATATTGTATTATGGGCCATCCACTGTGGCTCACGTCTAAGTCTGTATGCTGTGTAATAAGAAAGGGAAAGAATGGGGATTTCAACTCCTGATGAAAAGAACCATACCACAATGAACGGAGATGGAAAGATGTTGAGGCGAAAGATCAAAGACAGGGATTTGATTCTCACAAAGTGAATGTTTCTGACCTCAATTTTGTTTGCTACGGAACCAATTCTAACAAAATGGATGCTGATTGTGAACACAGACCTTGTTTAGGGCGCCTATACTCCGGGACGAGGCGTCGGTGAACAGTTTGCTGTGCAGGAGCATGACTCTGGCGATGAGGTAGAGCCGCAGGAACATGGGAACACTCAGCACCATGTCGAGGTCGGCCTCAGCCTGCGACGGCGCGTAGGAGAAGGCCAGTCGTGCCCTCCACTGGAACTTGAAGTCGCCGGGCACCGGGTGCACGGCAGACACCAGCAACTCCAGAGCGATGAGCAGGACTCGCTCCATCGTCATGGCGATGCGCCAGTCGTCCGCCCCGTTGTCAATGACGAACAGCTGCAGAGGCAGAAAAAAGTTTTAATGGTGCTGTGAGTTCCCTGTCCACGCTCTGCTATCCTTCCACTCATCACATGGATGAATTAGCTCATGGTTAAAGAAGCAATTACAACTTAAAGTCTGTTTCACAAAATATAGAACCTTTCTAAGTAATCAGTAATCTATTCACCCTGCAGAGAGAGACGGCTTATTTTCAGAAAACACATCCTACGGAGGGGCTCTTCTTTAGCAAGATCCACATCTAATTATACCACTCAGAACATCCCCAACCAAAGCACTACGCTGGGAGCAGCTCTCACTATGTTTGTTTAATTGCAGCTACTCTATGCCCATACAGCACATGCATGTTCATTACTGTTGTGGCTGTTAATCACATTATTGGTGCTGTCGTTATAAAGAGGTTAGCGCTAGTTGATTACAGAAGGCCATCTACAGCCGGTGCTGACGGGAACAGGGCTGGTGCTGAGAGTGGGGGCGGAGGACTTACTGAGAACACATGAATGAAAAGAAGAGGAAGCTGAAGCACTGAGTCATGCAAAACTTCCAACTGTGTGTAATCTGTTGGAATAAAGCAAAAATATAAGTGTACTCCAATATACAGTAATTGTATTTGCAAGCCATGGAGTATAACTTACAGTGACTATAGGAGTAAGACAGAACAGAGACTCGTTGCTACAATCTAGAAGCAGGAAGAGGATGTCGAGGGATTACTATTACTAATTGCATCATGTGTTCAATGTTTATGATAGAATCAATTATGTAGTTTAAGATCAAGATGAAGATTAAGAGACACTTTATTCATCCCAGAGTGGGGGAATTTTAGTGTTGCATTAGAAGTTACATAACAGTTGGAATGACGAGCACACAACATAAAATAAGGAAAAATATAAATATGTTAACTCTATACTTTAAAAGATAAGATCAAAACAATATCTCTCTATATCTTAATAAAGAAGATACTGTAAACTCTAGTTTGTCATTAACTCTTAGGGTTCAAATGTGATGTAGCCACTGTACATGTTAGCAGCATATGATACTACTGTACATGTTAGCAGCATGTGATACTACTGTACATGTTAGCAACATGTGATACTACTGTACATGTTAGCAACATGTGATACTACTGTACATGTTAGCAACATGTGATACTACTGTACATGTTAGCAGCATATGATAATACTGTACATGTTAGCAACATGTGATACTACTGTACATGTTAGCAGCATATGATACTACTGTACATGTTAGCAGCATATGATAATACAGTACATGTTAGCAGCATATACTACTGTACATGTTAGCAACATGTGATACTACTGTACATGTTAGCAACATGTGATACTACTGTACATGTTAATCAGCATGTGATACTACTGTACATGTTAATCAGCATATGATACTACTGTACATGTTAGCAGCATGTGATACTACTGTACATGTTAGCAACATGTGATACTACTGTACATGTTAATCAGCATATGATACTACTGTACATGTTAGCAGCATGTGATACTACTGTACATGTTAATCAGCATATGATACTACTGTACATGTTAGCAGCATGTGATACTACTGTACATGTTAATCAGCATATGATACTACTGTACATGTTAGCAGCATGTGATACTACTGTACATGTTAGCAGCATATGATACTACTGTACATGTTAATCAGCATATGATACTACTGTACATTTTAGCAGCATATGATACTACTGTACATGTTAGCAACATGTGATACTACTGTACATGTTAGCAGCATGAGGCTCCGGGATAAAGTTGTTTTCTCAAGTGTATTAGCTTTAACATTATGTATAACATACAATGGTATCCCATATCAATCTCATAACATTAATACTTGGCAATTATTTTTAAAAACCGCTGCAATAGTCCTGAGGTCCACAAAACACAATATTTTAAAAGCAGTCAGAGACAACTCGGCTGCTTCGCTTGAGTCCATCTCCTTGCCATCATATGTAACCTGTGAGCTTTTGATCACCGTGTGTGCTTATCCGGTGCCAATAAAGACGCCTGAACCAGGGTCAAACGCTTAGCATCGTTTCAATAATGTCAAACAGCGTGATACGAGTATGAACTGTACCTGTGCATGGGAGAGAGAGAGAGAAGAGCAGTCCCAGCCTTGTCATGGTGACTGTTGCCAAGGCGACAACATCAAAGAGCAGCCAAGCTTAATTAGGTTCCCCAGTGAGAGAGAGAAGCGGAGAGACTGAAGGAGAGGGGCCGAGGTGTGCCCAGTAACTCTCATCCTGAGGAGTTTAGGCCCCCGTATTTAATGAAGCACATAAGCTTTTAAGTATACCAACATAGTTGATACACCAACTTAAATATAACAACATAGTTCATACACAAATAAAAATACAACTTTTAGTAAAGCCATGAAAGTGAGCACTAGGGCCAAAGGGGTGAAGGTCGTAAATCATTTCAAAGCCTAATTTTCTGTATCTCTTCACATTACTCCGGGCTATTCACATTCCGTCTAATAGAGAATACGAGAATAAGAGAGCCATTATTGTTCCCACAGTGAGGACATTTCAGCAAGAGCACAGAAGTAAGAGTAAGAGTCCAGCTCTGTCCTGGGTTGTCCCCTGGACACAGTGCAGCAGGTGGGTGACAGGAGGGTCCTGGACAAACTAAAAAGAAGAAGAAGAGAATAAGAGGTTCTGCACATCTTTCCTTACTGCTGCTGTCAGACTGTACAACAAGCAATGATGTCTAATAAACACCGCCGACCTGACCACAAATGTTGTGCAAAAATTTGAATTAATGTTAGAATGTGCAATATGGGACCACATGTGTCAACTGTCACGTTTAGCCCACAACCTCATACTGCAAACATGTCATGTTTCATCTTCACTTATCTTGTATTGCATGCCCCTCAAACTTACTGTTGAGTCGCTTGCGATGCAACACTGAAATTTCTCAACTGTGGGACAAATAAATGATCCGAGTCCTGACTAGAACCAGGAAGTACGACCACATTAGTCCGGTCCTCAGGTCTCTGCACTGGCTTCCCGTGGCCCAGAGAATAGACTTTAAAGCAGCTCTCCTGGTGTACAAGTCTCTCCATGGCCTTGCACCAAAGTACATCCATGATATGCTAGTCCCATATGAACCAGCCCGGACTCTGAGGAGCGCAGGGACGGGACTCCTGTTAGTGCCCAGAGTCAGGACTAGACAGGGGGAGGCTGCTTTTCAGATTTATGCAGCTGGAGTCTGGAACGGTCTTCCTGAGGATGTGAGACTGGCTGCCTCTCTGTCAATGTTCAAATCCATGTTAAAGACTTTTCTTTTTTCCCGTGCATACAACTAGAGAATTTTATCTTTTTAACACACCTTGTTATTTATTGTTGTAACTTTTTGTGTTTTTAACTATTTTATTGTTTTTAATTACTTGTGTGATTTTTATGTTTTTAAATTACTTATGTGATTTTAATGCTTTTTAATTACATATGTGTTTTTAATTGTATTTTAATGGTGATGATTTGTGCATTGTGTGGTGTGGACTGTGAGGCGCTTTGTGTTGCCCTGTGCAGGAAAAGCGCCCTATAAATAAAGATTGATTGATTGATTGATTGATCTCTCAATCACAAATTAACATGACCATCTAATCAGATACAAACAAATCAAAAGGATTGGAAGAACTGATCAACCCTCAAGTTAATCATGTAGCTTTGTTTTGTCATGTCTGATCAGCAGTTCAAATCAAGGTGTAAGTCCCGCAGGATATTTTCCCATGCTCAATCTCCACCACCTTTGGAGGAGTAGGCCAGCCCTTTCTAGCCATTGGTAGGACTTCTTGAGATAAGCCATAGGATGGTAACCTTGCCTGCAAGCTGAATTCTCGCGGTATTTGTGAGTTCACAAACACTCGAGAATACATCTTGTACCGCTCCCGCTTACACTTTTCGAGTCGAACCACTGGGTGTGCGAGCCAATCACGCGCCAGTCTGGGGGTTTAGGGCGGGATATCCGGGTTTGACGAAAGCAAGAAGTGCCGGGCCGAAGCAAAACAAACATGGCTACGCAGGAGGACGGACGCGTAGCTGAGGCTATCAAGTCAGTTTTAGCAGAATCTCCAATTTCTTTTTTGAAAGATGAACAGCGAGAGGCGCTTTGTGCATTTCTGGACGGCAAAGATGTTTGTGCATTTTTACCTACGTAAGTCAAACCTTGGTAGGCGGGCACACAGCGTCACTTCGCCCAATCAGCTTCAAGTATTCTGCTGCTTATCCCTCCTTTCCCCGAAAGGATTCTCCGTGAGAAATCCCAGATTGATATCGCGGAGAACGCGTTAGAGTTCTACACAATCATCAATCTGGCTCTTGCCAGGTTAATAGGATGGGCCCTCCTCCAGAGCATCCCCATCTCACCACTGAGCACGTCATCCATTTGGGCTTATATACAATATTATATATCAACCCATATGTACCCATATGTACCTCAAGGAAAAGGCCCAGAAATATAACCCTAGGTATATATAAGTCGAGGTATCCTTTCCAACACAGTATATTTCTCCAAACAGCTGCAGTCTGACTTCACTCTACCTCCCCTGTTGGCTTTACTGTGTTTACCAGTGTGAGTGGAGCTTTTCAAACTCAAACTGTGGTGAATCCACAGCAACTAAACGTACTGTTCCTCCTCCCACGGCTGGACCTGTCTCTTCAGCTGCTGCTGGTCTTTTCCTGGCTAAATCGCTGGGAGGAAGGGATAAATAATTAAATTCCATTAGGAAAGTAATCTGTCAATGGAACTGAGTGAGTGCCACTGGCCCAACATGAGGAGAGAGTGATGGAGAGAGGGAGCAAGACGGGGGTATGTGTGGAAATAGAGTGGTCAGGGGTCACCAACACAACAACATTTTGTGTTGTGTTGTGAACATATTTTAGCCATAGAGTGAACCAATGCAACTCTTTTATGGACTAAACAAATCTAAATTATAATTTGTACTATAACAATATTTATTTTGTGAAAACATAATTTTGGTCAAATATTAAAATGATTAAATATCAAAGAATAAAAGGAGACATTCCAGCTAAAGATCCACTAATTACACACTAATAAACAAATGCAACGTCCGGTAACACATAGACGGTAGAGACTGTGGATTCAGTAGAGTCGATTAAAAATGCAGGATTTTTTATGGACTAAAACTAATATATTTGACTACAAATGACTGCACCAAATACAATGAAACACAAATCCTCCCAATCCCTACAGGTAAATAAGCATAGTTTCATAGTTAGACAATATTGCAATGCAATCATAGTCTGCTTGTAATTAAGTTCCAATCAAAAAATTATTTGGATATTTACTCTACTCTTTGCATTCAATTCAAATTCTAAATTATAACAGACTCTTAAGTCCAGTTAATGTCAGTGTAATAAAAGTTATATTTCTCACATATTCACAACATCAAGTGTAAAAGAATAAGAACATCTTCCATAGGAGTAGCAGGTAGACCTTGCCTGCCCAGAGGTGTTGGGGGAATTGTAAGCTACATTTGGAAGTATGTCAGCAGCAGAGCTCCATCAATCCATCAGCGCTCGGCCGGTGTCACCGAGCCGTGGACTCGTGTTAATCATGTTACAACCTCATAACAGAAGCAGACGTGCTGCTGGCCACAGAGGAGAAGCACACATGCGCACGCACACACACACGCATGCGCACACACACACACACACAAGCACACATCCGCCCGACTTTTGTCCACAGTGGTCTAAATCTTGAATAAAGCCTGACACATGCAACGGGGCCAAACTTCTCCAACATACAAACTTATAAATATATTGAAGAGACACCCCTTTGTCAGCTCAGTTTTTCCAGAGGAAAATGTGAAAAAATGACAGCTGGAGTCCCTCATTTTGAAACACAAAAACAATGTAACAAAAGCTATATAACTAATTACTTGCCGCAAACCAGCCACACAGATATAAAAACATCGTAGTGCCCCACATGTCATGAGGAAAGCCTAGTAAGCCAAGTCTAATCCAATTTCAACTAATCTCATAATTTGATATTTTATCCTTTCCTCTATGTGTTGTGCACTATGAACTGAATTGAAAATAATAAGACAATTTTCCGAAAGCGCTCAGCCATTCATAGTGCAAATATCCAGATGAGCCTGAACCACAGTGGGCTGGTCTAAAAAGAGGCTGAAGAAGCTCCCAGGAGACAGAGGGGAGACTACGGCCCAGACATAACCATGATCACCAAAGCAACACCAGGGACCAAGTGTTCACTGCGCGCATACACACACACGCACACACACACACACACACACACACACACACACACACACACACACACACGGAGCTGTGGTCCTTTCGTACACAAAGTATTCATTGAGGCACACATACAGAAATACAGGGAGAATATGTAGAGAGGGAAGTACCAAAGAAAGAAGAGAGGAGATAGGAGAGAGGAGGGAGGAAAGAGGAGAGGTGAAGAGAGAAAAGGAAAAAGTGTCTGGAACAGTGGAGATTCCACTGAATCCACGGTTTTGGCGTGGGCACAGAAGATGTTGTCACTTTACCAAGAAAATTTGAAAAACAGCAACTTGGAAAATACAAAGAGTCCTACTAACTTAAGTGCCTAAAGAGCAGGGTTTCCAGTAATTCATGCAAATGTGAAGAAATTATGAGAGTTAAAAAAACAGCCCAGAGCTATATGCTGCAAATAGCACTGCATAAATGAGTCGCTAAAAGACATTTTTTTCTTGTCAAGAGAATCTCTCCATTATAAGTCCCATTTGACAAGTACACTATGCAGAATGTAGAACATAACATCCTGAAGAGGTGACCTACCTCCCATCAGCTGTATATACTGTGGAACAGTAACAGTATAGAAGAGTAGATCACTTTGTTTAATGTCATCTGCTTTAAGTGGCTCTGAGTGCCAGGCCCATGTCTTTAATGATCAATGAAACGCTCTGAATCCTCGAAAAGAAACTAAATAACACAGTTCCTAATGTTCAGAGTGATCTAATGCACCAGAACATCTCCACTGAGCCACTCTCAGGACTTTCTATTTGATTCATTTCAACAACAATTCAATTTAAACCTTTCAAAACAAGATTTCATGAAAGTTTATGAGCTCCAGAGCGGACTTCACAGAAAATGAGTATGGGAAGGATACAAGCAAATCCCTGCATTCCCTTGCTAATGTGAAACCACGTTTAGAAGTAGAAATAATGCATTGAAAAGAAAAATAACTAACAAAAAGTGCACTTTTAATGGCTGCAGTATTTTGTGTTGTTAATCCTCTTATAGCTAGTTTTACACAACATAAAGATATAAAAAATTAATTTTTTGTCAAGAATCAACAACAAGTGGGACACAATCGTGAAGTGGAACAACATTTATTGGATAATTTAAACTTTTTTAACAAATATAAAACTGAAAAGTGGGGCGTGCAATATTATTCGGCCCCCTTGTGCTAATACTTTGTAGCGCCACCTTTTGCTACAATTACAGCTGCAAGTCGCTTCTGGTATGTCTATATCAGTTTTGCACATCGAGAGACTAGAATTCTTGCCCATTCTTCCTTGCAAAACAGCTCGAGCTCAGTGAGGTTTGATGGAGAGCGTTTGTGAACAGCAGTCTTCAGCTCTTTCCACAGATTCTCGATTGGATTCAGGTCTGGACTTTGACTTGGCCATTCTAACACCTGGATACGTCTATTTGTGAACCATTTCATTGTAGATTTGGCTTTATGTTTTGGATCATTGTCCTGTTGGAAGATAAATCTCCGTCCCAGTCTCAGGTCTTTTGCAGACTCCAACAGGTTTTCTTCCAGAATGGTCCTGTATTTGGCTCCATCCATCTTTCCATCAATTTTAGCCATCTTCCATGTCCCTGCTGAAGAAAAGCAGGCCCAAAGCATGATGCTGCCACCACCATGTTTGACAGTGGGGATGGTGTGTTCAGGGTGATGAGCTGTGTTGCTTTTACGCCAAACATATCGTTTTGCATTGTGGCCAAAAAGTTTGATTTTGGTTTCATCTGACCAGAGCACCTTCTTCCACATGTTTGGTGTGTCTCCCAGGTGGCTTGTGGCAAACTTTAAACGAGACTTTTTATGGATATCTTTGAGATGGCTTTCTTCTTGCCACTCTTCCATAAAGGCCAGATTTGTGCAGTGCACGACTGATTGTTGTCCTATGGACAGACTCTCCCACCTCAGCTGTAGTTATCTCCAGTTCATCCAGAGTGATCATGGGCCTCTTGTCTGCATCTCTGATCAGTCTTCTCCTTGTTTGAGATGAAAGTTTGGAGGGACGGCCGGGTCTTGGTAGATTTGCAGTGGTCTGATACTCCTTCAATTTCAATATAATTGCTTGCACAGTGCTCCTTGAGATGTTTAAAGCTTGGGAAATCTTTTTGTATCCAAATCCGGCTTTAAACTTCTCCATAACAGTATCTCGGACCTGCCTGGTGTGTTCCTTTGTCTTCATGGTTCTCTCTGCGCTTTAAACAGAACCCTGAGACTATCAAAGAGCAGGTGCATTTATACGGAGACTTGATTACACACAGGTGCATTCTATTTATCATCATCAGTCATTGAGGACAACATTGGATCATTCTAAGATCCTCACTGAACTTCTGGAGTGAGTTTGCTGCACTGAAAGTAAAGGGGCCGAATAATATTGCACGCCCCACTTTTTATTTGTTAAAAAAGTTTAAATTATCCAATAAATTTTCCCACTTGTTGTTGACTCATGACAAAAAATTAAAATTTTATATCTTTATGTTTGAAGCCTGAAATGTGGCGAAATGTTGAAAGGTTGAAGGGGGCCGAATACTTTCGCAAGGCACTGTACTTAGTATGGTCCTCAAAAAAATGTCTAGAGCAGTGGAACTAATATAAAACCCAAACCCAGAAGTTACAGGACTGGACAAAGGACTTTTTTACCAATGATAAATTAATTGTCTTTGCAATATATCATGTAATCCTACATCCTGTTGAGGAAAAACATATTCTTTACATTACAAAGCCTACAAATCACACAGTCACAATGTTATTGTTTTGTATATTGTTTTAAAATCATAAAAAGAGACATTGAAAAGTTATATCGTGTTCTTTAAGAAATTCAAATGCAAAATGAAAGCTATGAGCAGTGACAGTGCTGACACGGCACTGACTCAGCAACAGAAGTGCCATGTTCTGCTGCACATCCTACATATTCAGACTCACTGTTGCCTGAACTCCGGCTCAACAGAAACCTTCAGGAAAAACAACCCATTGTGAGTTTTAATTTGTGAACAATTATAAACATTTACAAAAGGATAATCCATGGAAACATACTCAAAGACGTGTGTTGCTGTAACATTTTCACATAACTTGGAATGATAATGACAATTTTACTTTTTGGGATGAGTCAGGATCAGTTT